CGGCCAGACAGGAGGAACCACTACCTGCTTCAGCACTTCCAGCCGACGATGCAGAAGTGCGGGTGGAGAAGGAAGCCCCTGCTCCCAAGCCACAACTAGTGGTTAAGGAGCATGTACCCCAGCTTCCCTCCCCACTCGCCTACACAAGGACAAGTTGGAGACTGAGTTTGCCAAGTTTATGGCAATGTTGAAGCAGCTCAACATCAGCATACCGTTCGTGGAGGCACTGTCGAAGATGCCCAAGTATGCCAAGTTCATGAAAGACCTCCTCACCAACAAGAAGAAACTTGGGGATCTCTCGACAGTGTTGCTGAGCGAGGAGTGTTCTGCTATCCTGCAGAACAAGCTGCCCGAAAAGCGCAAGGATCCAGGGAGTTTTACTATCCCTCTTACTATTGGCAGCATGCATGTAGGCAAGTCCTTGGCGGACCTAGGCGCTAGCATAAATGTCATGCCATATAAGTTGTATAAAAAGCTAGACCTAGGTGAACTTAGCCCTACTAGGATGAGCATTCAGCTAGCTGATCGTTCCATTGTGCATCCTAGGGGGATCATAGAGGATCTGCTTGTTAAAGTAGGTGCATTCACATATCCTGTTGATTTTGTTATTCTTGATATACATGAGGATGTGGATGTGCCTTTGATTCTGGGTAGACAATTTCTTGCCACCGCCAAGGCACTTATTGATGTGCATGATGGTAAACTGATCTTGCGTGCTGGGAATGAACATGCTACTTTTTCTGTGACTGAATTTGATCACTGTGCTATGATTGTTGTCACACCTGTGCATGCCATTTCTGATCAGGTGCACGAGCCTGTCGTGTATCCTTCTGCACCTCTTATTTTGCAGGACCCTCCTATCATTCCTTCGCCGCCACTCCATCCAGCCTCGCCTCCGAACAAAAAGATCAAGGAGGAGTGGCGGCCGAAGCAGTAGGTTGCTAAGCCTGCACGGAAGAAGGGTGGAGACCACTACGAGCTGGTTCCACCTTCTGCACCACGACCACCCTGGCCGTCCGGGTACTCACTCGCCTGCATCTTGCCGGATGGCCAGGTCGAGCTGACCGATGATGGTGGTCGCATCCGTCGGGTGCATGGCCACAACCTTAAGCTGTACCTCAAGAGCGACGTGGATCCGCTCTTGGAGGCACCTGTTCCTTCACCTCCCTGAGTATCCACCATAGGCGTCCAGCTAAAAGACGGTAAAGAAGCGCTTGTGGGGAGGCAACCCCACCACGGTTTGACTTTCTTTCTTGTGTTTTGAGTCGGATTGTAAACCGGTTTGGTTTTGTTTTGTTTTCTTTTGTTTTGGATGATGTATTATTGGGCTGACCATTGGACCTAACATATTGTGTTTGAGCTCTTTGGTTTCCTTTAGCTGTGCTTGTCTTGACTGGTCCTCTCTCCAGTCCGCTTCACTCCGACTGGTCCGCTTCCCGTCTCCTGTAGTCCGTGCATACCGGTAACATCATTCCCCTTTCCCTTCCCTCTTCTCCATTGAGGGCAATGTCGATCTTAAGTGTGGGGGGATGTTTATCTTTTGACTGCATTAGATCTGTTTGTGTGCTTGGAGCCTAGTCCACTGTCCAAATTTTTAAATTTGAGGGCTCCAAGTATGTGTTCCGTGCAATTGCCTGCTCAGTATGCTTTGAATTGACAGTCTCTATAGTAATATGCAACCTAGGGAGGTAGTGTAGCACTATGGAGGATGTTGATGCATTTAAGAAGTCTCATTTCTTCTTCATATTGTGTTGGTTGATTGAGTGAATTAGTGATCTTAGGACCCTTGAATTGTGTGGTGTTGTGGATTCTCTACCTGTCATGGACTCTTGTATCATATTTTGAGTTTAACAGGTGCTCGAAAATGGGCTTCAAAATAATGTCTCCCGTGCGAATAGGGCGAAAGTGTGTAAGGGGAGACGGGAATTCGTTCCCAATTTCCACCTACTACCTCCAGCCCCCTTACATGTCTTTCCCCCGCACGAGGCTCGAGACATCCGCTCCTGGCATGGCCGGTAAGAGCAGGTTGGGACCCTTGAATGAAAAAAAAGGGAAAAGAAAATAACAGAAAACAAGCAGAACAGAAAAAAAAAAAAAAAGGGGTTCCAACCATCTTCAAGAAGAAAATAGAGCACCTTGAAAAATAGGAGTCCATGATCCTTTGCTTTTGAGAATCTCTTCATCCACAATTCATTTGTCCTCTGTTCACTATTTGCCATGATGCCGACTCGATACTAGTGCTCTCGCCGAAGAAGCTATGAGATGACTTGTGCGTCGGTTGACCTCGTAAGCTGCTAAATGATCTAGGAAGTCCTCTACCTAAGATCTGGGTTGTTTATTGTTATAGAGGTCTGGAGAGTTGCATTGGTTTGAGTTAAGTTTGCTTGGGGACAAGCAAACGGTTAAGTGTGGGGGAATTTGATAACGATGTAATTGCACGTATGTGCACCCCTAATTCTTATCCGTTTGAGAGGCATAGTCGTGTATTTTGGCCTATTTTACGCCGGGTTGTGCTATTTTGTCATATTTCAGGTCCCAGGCGTCAAAGGGAAGGCTAAGCACGAGTTTCGGGGCATTCGGAAGTCATTTCGTCGAGTTGGAGCCAAAACACGGGCACACCTAAAACAGAACACGGCCGTGTTCTGTGGCCGTGCTTTTACTGCCGAGAGCTAATTCGAGTTTGGCAAACATGAGCTGATTACACGGGCAGGGCTGAGAATTTGCACGGCCATGTCGACCAAAGCACGGCCATGTCCACCCGAAAGCACGGCCGTGTTTCTCCCAACACAATGGCCGTGTAATTAACCCTAGCCAAAGCACGGGCGGGCTGAGGCAAAGCACAGCCGTGCCCTCGACCGTGCTTTGGCCACTGATGCCCTTTTAAGCAGATTTCAGCCAAAACAGAAGGGGATTCGAGTTTTAGAGAGATAGAACGATTCCTAGAGAGAGCAAGCGACGAACAAGAGTCTCCAAGTGCCCTACCTTGATCTTCATCACCATTGGAGGCCAGTTTGAGCTTGGAGAAGTGCCGATCAACGTCCAGGAGCAGGAATCCATCCTTCACAGTATGAATTCCGCGTCTGATTCTGCTTTTGCTTCTTTCTCCATGGATAGTTCTCCCATTCATCTGGGTATGGAGAACCCTAGATTTGTATGTTAGACTTTGATTGTATAAACCCAAGTACTGATTCTATGAGTTGATTATATTCGATTGAGGTTTGAATGATTGAATGGCATGAATCCTGATCAAATTCCTGTTGTTTCTGCTTTAACCTAGAATGAGAATATCTGCCTAGGTTGATAGAGCATCCTTGATTGAAGGTAGGGAGTAGGTGACTTTAGTCGAGGAGCCAACTCACTATTCTGTACCGGATTCACTCCGGTAGTGGAGGTTTTGTTTGTTAAGGCCTCAATCTGTTTACTCCGGTGGAGGTTAGTCGCCCGCTAGAGACTCAGATTGAGAGGGTCTGAAGACCTTTAGTCGAGACTTCAGGCTGTTTAAGAACCTTCCGCAGTATAACTATCATAGAAACTGAACTTGGTAATTACAATCCGGCTTAACTGCAGTCTAGGGGGAACCATATCCGGGTGACCTCTCTTAACCTGAATACAACAGTTTACTTGCTTTGTTTGTTTATTAGTTTAGACTTGCATTAAAGTTTCATTGCTAGATAACAAGAATTCACGGAGTAGTCATCAAATCTAGGACCCAGGTTGACATTTAAACCTAAACCCGCTATACTAGGCTTTCGGAAGTGGTTTCACTTGGCCAATTCCTGGAGTGACATTAGAAGTGAGTCAGTGTGGTATTCTTTTATGTCCAAAATTTCCCTTAATCTAATCTCTATCTTCAATTTAAAAATAGGATGAAATAGAAGTAATCAAGATTGTAGATGTTGTTAACCACCGTATTTTGAGTAACCATGCTAACCCATCCAAAAAATTTACAGTCAGTCATTTAGAAGCTTTTTCACAATCGGAAGCTTTTATGGATTTATTATGCCTTGCATTCATTTAAGTGATGACGCATGCTCTTTTCAATCTCTATTTAATGCGTGTAAAACCAAAATTTTCAATTATAAGTGGAGATAAAATATATATTGATATCAATTCCATTACCATAAAGATATTGTTCGGTTGTGTAATGGATTGTATCATAAATTATTTGGTTCTAATAGTTCAAATTATTGGAAGAATATTAATTATTGATTTTATAATTTTTCTTGTTGGAAGAATATTAATTATTGATTTTATAATTTTTCGCACTCCTTTAAAAGAAATCCAACTTATAAGCTCGAAATTTGCACATGCACACATATCTTATATTTAAACCAACTGTTAATATTAGGGTCATGAAAATTCAAATAAGTTAAATCAGTTCTTAGTTCTAACACTATATAATGAATCGTTAGCTCTAACCAAGGTAGTTAAACTCTTATCGGGCCCCCGGTTGGACCTGGTCTGACCTGAATCGAGCTTCAAAAGATCCTACAGAAAACCCCCCGGTCTGACCTCTAAAGAGGGAGAAGAAGAGAGAGGAAAGGGAGGAGGGGGAAAGAAGGAAGGAAGTGGTGGGTGAATGACGGAGGTTAGGTAGGTTTTTATTTTGTGTGAAATAAGTTTTAATAGATATATGTAAGATAAATTTCATTTCATTCATTGATTTTTAATTACTACCTTATTTGTATATATATTTAGAAAACATATAAAATGGCTCAAACCCCTTGTTTGACCGGCTCAATGACTTAACCCGGTTTGACAACCTTGGCTCTCAGTAACTCAAACTATTGGGGAATTCCCACTGGCTAAATATTGTTTTGCATGTGTGCGTGAATGCAGACAGCAAAAAAGTTGAAAATTTTGAATCTCGGCAATTTTGATTACAGCATGACGAAACTACCAGAATTTCCAGAATTGGGGAGTCTAGAGATGTTGAATTTGTGGAACTTCTGTTGCTCGAAACGGGATAATTCTGACGTCCAGCTGGACATAAGGAATCTATGGAACCTAAAAGTACTGAACCTGCAGAACTGCAAACTGAGAAAGATAAAAGGTGGAACCTTTGGAATGATGAAGCTGCTCCGCGAGCTCAATCTCATCTATGTCATGTGCACAAGAATTTGCGCAAATCCCCCGCCGATATAGGGCAAATGCAAATGCTCAAAATTTTGAGAGCCGAAAAGGCCAACACGTCGAATGGCTACCTTCAGGTTGAAGTGCTGGCAGGGATCAAGCTCCCAACAAGTTTGAAGGTGCTGACCACTTCATCTGCGGTGGCTAACCTTGCAGAGTTGCTTGAGCTACGAGAACTCAAACTCGATCGGTGCAAGTCGAGGATCGTGTGATGAATCGTTGCCCACGATCAGTGACGTAGCAAGGATTCGAGTTTAGTGGGGTCCCATTTACGAAAAAATCTTATAACATTATATTCAATTATTAAGTAAATTTTCTTAAAAATATATAGTCAAGTAGTCATTCATCAAACCATTAGTTATTAGGTTTGTACTTTACATTTTGTGTAACTTATAATTGAAAAGTGACATTCCAATAAATAGCTAAAATAAATAGTTCCCAACCAAAATCTAATACACACAAACGTTTTATAAAACATATTTGATGACAAAGAAATTGTATATTGATAGGAAAATTTTGTTGAACTAAGAGCTTTTTAGATATAGTTGGAGGTTTTTGTACACATATTTAGTAGAATTATAAATTTTTAGAATAAGGACTATAAAAGTGGGGATTTTGAATGATATATGACCAATATAGTCTAATTTATTTGTGTGTTTCATAATATTATGACAATTAAATTTCATACGAATGGGGTCCTGAATTCTAAATCTACTCAAATTAAACAAATATGTACATACATATAACCAGTTTAATTTATCCAAGTGGGGTCCTAGGACCCCACTCCCTTCCACCTCCCTCTGCCACTGCCCATGATTCAAGAGTTTTGCTTGTAACTCACAAGCGAGAGAAAGATGTTGGTGTCTATAAACCTTTGATTTATTGATTGATTGATTAATTGGAATAATGTCGTAGTTACAATATATAGACGACTAAACCTAATATGTAACCCTAGCTAACCCAGAACCCTACTACTACTCTGGCCAACTCGGCCTCACCTAGAACAAGACTCCTAATCGGCCATTAACTACTAAGCCCACACACTTATAACCCAAAACACATGACCCAACTTCATACATAACTCATACTAACTACTAACATGCTAGACCCACTAAACTCCCAACCCATGCAACATAACCCTACGACTAACCCAACACATTTGGTCTCATCAATCCTTCCTCCTCAAAGAACATTGTCTGCAAGGTTCTAATATCGACGAATCGCGGAGGATGTTGACGATAGCAACTGCAGCTCTTGCGGTGACTTAAATTTTGTCGCCTTCAGAACTTCCAGCTTGCAGTTCAAACCCTGCTCCTCTTCCTCGACTGGGATAGCGCAGGGGACATTATGCCCATTTTTGGGACTCCAAACTTAGCAACTTGAGCATTAGCAAGGACAAAAAATTCTTTCCTGAAATAGCTGGAGCGTAGGCGGAATAAAAGCAAGCTTAAGAGCCCTCCCCCATCACCCTCGTCATGGTCCCAAGCAAGACTACACCCTCCTTCAATTATGATGGGATTTTTGCCAACAAAACCCCCCATTATTATGATTAAAACAGTGCCCATCTTCGGCAAAGGAAGGAGCGTACCTAGCGTCCTTACTTGAATGGACAAGCAGCGGCTTCCGCAACCCCGGGTCATCCACGTCCTCAAATCCCACCTTCTTACTAACCGGTGCCATACATAAAACCGGTGATCCTTCGAGCAAACCCAAAAAGATCTAGTTAACAACAACCGCTCCGGCTTCTTTGGGTTGAGCTCCAACTCCAAAAACCTCCTTATGTTCATTTTCGGATCGATAGGTGAGAGCCTCGTCGAGGTGGTGACCACCACGGCGCACTGTTTCCTTCCCATCGCTTCCAGATCATTGGATGAGAGCCTCGCATAGGTTATAATCACCATCGCACAATATTTCCTTCCCGCCGATCTCGTTAACCGACATCTTCATCTTCTTCGCCGCCTTAGTTTCATTGGCGTCGACACGGGCCACGTCATCGTGGCTTCGTTTCCTGTCGATGACGTTCCGCACTCGGGTTTTGCAGTATACTCCTCCCACAATTGTTCCTGCGGAATCTGATGGTTGGTCCAAGAAGCTCAAGATACTCTTGTTCTTCTTTCATATCATAGATATACTGATATGAACTCGCCATCTCCCGAATCTCAATGCGCGGAAGCATCCAGGCTCTGTTACCAATTGATGAATCGTTGCCAACGATTCAAGGATTTTGCTTGTAACTCACAAGTGAGAGAAATACGTTGGTGTCTATAAACCTTTGAATTATTGATTGATTGAATAATCGGACTAATGTCATAGTTACAATATATAGGTGATGAGAGTATTTTCGGTTTGGGCTTTTGATTTTTGGGCTTGGGTGTTTTTCCTTTTCGTTGTAGGTTTCCTTTGAGTTTGGGGTTGGGGTTGGGGTAGTCGAGTAGGAGAAGGATTTCGGTTAGGGGTAGGTTAAGTATTAGGCTTTTCTAAGCCTATAAATATGTACCTTTGACATTAGTTCCGTATCAATCAAATAAATCAAAGGTTTATAGACACCCATGTCTTTCTTTCGCTTGTGAGTTACAAGCAAAACCCTTGAGCAGTGGGAAACTCTTCATCAATTAGTATCAAAACCTGGTTCCGAATCCGTTCGGGATCACATCGAAATGGGTACAGGCACGGCTGCAGAGAGATGTTCCGCGTTGGAAGCCGCAGTGGAGGAGTTGAGGGCGCAAGGGCAGGCCAATGCACTCGGCTTGGTCAAGGTCAGGGAGCAAATAAAGGAGCTTATGGAGATGATGCAGAATTTGGTGACTAGGGTTGTTGCGTTGACACCGCAACGAGAGGGGAAGGGGGTCGTGGTGGTCGATTCGTCCGGAGAGGAGAGCTCGGACGAGAAGGCAGGGGAGAAGAGCTGGACCTGCCCCGAGAACGACAACGGCGGCGGCGCGCATTGCAAGGAATCGGCGGTGCAGGGGAGCTTCGGCGGCAAGCCAGCCGTCGACGGGAGTGGTCGCACGAGCAGCGAGGGAGGTTTTCTAGCTAATCTCTCAAGGCCCGAGTTCCCAAAGTTTGCGGGAGATGATCCTGGATCATGGTTTCCTCGCGTCGAGCAATTCTTCGAATATCAGGAGATACCGGAAGATCAGAAAGTGCCATTAGCTACGTTTCATCTGGAAGGAGTGGTGAACCAGTGGTGGCAGTGGCTGAAACAGACCTACAAAGACACCGGGGAGCCGATTTCTTGGGGGCTATTCTCGCCGGAGCTATGTGCGTGGTTCGATCCAACCGAAGTGGAAAGCTACAACGAGGCACTATCAAGGATTCGTCCTACTGGGTCCCTACGTGATTACCAGAAAGAGTTCGAGAAGTTGGCTAATCGCTGCGCCGGCTCGACACAACAGGCACTAGTGGGCACTTATTTGGGAGGTTTGAAGTCGGAGATCGCGGATGAGATCCGAATGTTTCGTCCTCAATCCTTGTGCGACGCCATTAGCTTGGCCAGGATGAAGAACAACCAAATCCAGCGCCATAAACCTGCTGGTCGATCTGCAGCACCGGCAGGAGAGGGATGACGGGTACAGGAAAAGGAGGCTATGCGCCGAGAACTGCAAGCTCGGGATTCCAAGGAGGTGGAGGACCACCACGCGGGCCACCAGAAGGGAAGAGATTGAGCTGGGAGGAGCAGCAACTGCGATGAGCTCACGTCTATACTTCAACTGCGACGAGCGCTTTACCATTAGGCACAAGTGGAGTAATGCTAAGGTGATCTGCTTATTCGAAGAAGAAGAAGAAGAAGAAGAAGAAGGTCAACCTTGGGGACAAGGTTGATTTCAAGGGGAGAGGATTGATGAGAGTATTTTTGGTTTGGGCTTTTGATTTTTGGGGTTGGGAGTTTTTCCTTTCCGTTGTAGGTTTCCTCTGAGTTTGGCATTGGGATTGGGGTAGCCGAATAGGATAAGGATTTTAGTTAGGCTAGGTTAAGTATTAGGCTTTTCTAAGCCTATAAATATATACCTTTGACATTAGTTCCGTATCAATCAAATAAATCAAAGGTTTATAGAAACCCACGTCTTTCTCTCGCTTGTGAGTTACAAGCAAAACCCTCGAGCAGTGGGAAACTGTTCATCAATAGGCGACTAAACCTAATACGTAACCCTAGCTAACCCCAAACCCTACAACTACTCTAGCCAACTAGGCCACACCTAGAACAAGACTCCTGATCGGCCATTAACTATTAGGCCCACACACATATAACCCAAAACACATGATCCAACTTCAGATCTAATCCATACTAACTCCTAACATGCAAGACCCACTAAACTCCCAACCCATGCAACGTAACCCTACGACTAACCCAACACACTTGCTCTCATCAGCGTGATCCCCTCGACGAGCAGCATGTGGTGGAAGTCATCCAAGCTGGAGTCTCTGACACTCGAGTACTCTCCGAACCTTGTCATGGACCCTAACGATACCCTGCTCCCATCGTCTCTGACCAGGCTCTCCATCGACTATGCAACATTGGAGTGGCTCCCTAACTTGGAGAATCTGGAGAATTTGGCGGAACTGAGACAAAATCTGTGTGCCAAGCTCAAAGAACTCCAACGGCTTGGAAGTTTGAAAGCGTTGCAGACTCTTGAGATTTCTTCCTTGCTTGTCTGGATCGTCTGGACGGACTTGTGGATCTCATGTCTTCTTCTAACTGCAAGCTGACCAAGTTAATTATATGGCGTTGCCCTCTCCTGATTACAGCACTAAATGAGTACTGTAGATCAGAATCAGCAGTTGTTCACTCTTTGCTGGAAATGCAAATCGATGGATGTCCATAGCTTGATGGTGGCTCGATACCCCGTCTGTACAAGCTACCAAGGCTCAAGGTCTTGCGGATAGGAGGGGTACTGAGGTTCAGCAATGATAGTAGCAGAACAACCATGCTGGAAGGGCTCGAGAATCTGCGGGAGATCGAGGGGACATTCCAAATCTGCGGGAGATCGAGGGGCTTGAAGGGTTGAAAGAACTGAAGAAGTTGCAAGTGGGCGCATGCACGTCCCTGGAGAGATTGGCCGTTGCGGATATACCATCAAGCATGAAGTGGTTGACACTGGACATTAGAGGCTGCACCAATTTCACCGCCGATCTGTCTACCTTGAAACTTCAATGGAGCACAGGAAAAATCCGGTGGCCATATGAACCAGTCCCTCCCCTGCATCCTCAGCCTCAACCAGTGCTGGAGTTCCATGATCATAACATCTGCGAGTTGCACTATAATCTCTCAGCCAACCTTACATCCATCACACAACTATATGATACAGCCAACGTAGATTTATATCCTGTTTAATAAGCACAGATACCGATTCATCAAAACCGATACAACCATCCAACCTCTATTCATTCACAGCTAATGCTTTAGTATCGTATGGAACTAAGCCTCATTCTCAACTACTAATGTAGCAGATAGCATAGGCATGGGGAATGAAGTGAAATAATACTCGTTTGCATTCAGAAAGTGCTGCTGGAGGACGATAATGCTATAGAAAACGGAAGATGCAACATGGAAACTCAGAAAGATGTGATCTCTTGTGATTAAGCTTGAAATTAACAAGTTATATAGGAGTAAACTGAAGCGCAAATCTCACATGAATAATTTGATTACCTTTCGTCTATCCAACAGCTAACAAGATAAGAGTTCAATTAGGAAAGAAGTTCTTTCTTCCCTCGCGATTTTCGATTACCTGGAAATCATAGTGCAGCAGTGCAGAGTATGGTTGTAACGTGTAACAGCCAAAGAGGGACAAAAGCAATTTTACTACTTCAGCAGGCCAGAATATTAGTATGATCATGGTTTTTTAAAGCTATAGATATTTCATCTTCTTTTCCTTTGTTTCCTTCGACAATCAAAACATTCTATACATGGTGACTGAATTCTGTAACTATCCTGAATTTTACTGGATGGTACTTTGAGGTCTTCCAAAAGGATTTGACGAAGCTTCTTGTTCTCTTCCACTAGCTCTTCAATGATCTGCTGGTGTTTCAGCACCTGAATGGCCATGGCAAAATTAATTTCTTAGTGACATAATGAAGTTAAAAATTAAAATGTTCATTCAATGTGATGGAATAACCAAGTAGAGAAGCGGCTGATTAACTCAGACTTACCATTTGAAGCATGCTGTTTTCCGACTGCAAACGGCCAGCCTGCATAGGTTAGGCAAGGAATCAGTGACAAATTCATAGCCCATCAAAGATGGTCGATGCAATGGATCACACATACCGATTGCTTCAGGGCAGGGTCGTCTTCTCTAAGCATTGGGTTCTGCAGAAAGCTGCTGAGAACTTTTTCAGTTCTACTAAAGGATGAATCGGCTAGACCCATTTCTGATGTTTGAGTTGTATAAGTAGAGTGCTGGTTGACCTTTCCACTTCCGGGAAGACCTTGAAGCGATAAGTCTGGAAAGTTCCCTCTAAGCTGAGTGATAGGAGTTGCAGGACTGTTGCTTGTTGGCCCATTTGCCACACTGATGCCACCAGGCAACGATATTGGGAGCCCACCTTGAATAGCTGACATATTAGGAACTCCTCCAAGTTTCATCATAACTGTCGTCATTGCTTCCTAGGAAGTTTAAAATCAAATTTCAGTAAGAGAAATAGTGACGAGATGAAAGTTCATAGTAAGTGGACATACAACACTTTGTAAAATACCAGAAAGCAAACTTGAATTTTCTGCAACACCCCTGGTTTCACAGCAATGCCTGCCCAGTAAAGGTCAAGTTTTTAGCCCATGGTAACTCAGAATCGCTCTTCAATCATTAAATGATCAACTAAGCAGATAATGCAATCTGAACAGATAGCCACCAGATATGTCCAACATACTCCATACACAGAACACGACCTACCAACTCCGAATCCATGGCCAAAACCAATTCCACAACCAACGCCAGCCTCAATGTTCTTAGCTCCCACCTTCCTTAGCTGGAAAATAAGAAATGAGACTTTGATGGTAAATCTGAATCAGACTAGTGTGAAATGACAAGGGCAGAAAAATTAAATCAATAATTCTACTTACTGCATCGTTTACATGTCTGCTAAAACCAGAGAAAGCATCTGTGGCACCTCTAGTTGCACTGAGGACTTGATTCACCATCGGCAAGGCACCTAAGAGTGTGGATCACACCAACATTTTCAGGTCACTAACTACACAAAGTATGACAAGAAATCAGTGTGCGTGAAGGAAATTTTGGGAAACAAATCGCTGAAATTCTAAGACACGGAAATCAAATGAAAACCAAATAGACATTTGATTGTGTTCAGTTTTCATAAAGGAGAACTCCAAACTAAAATTCCCAGACGAGCCCGATTCGAAGGTTTAGCCTTGAAGCAAGGCTTCAACCGCTGAGTGTCATGAACCCCACATACGAAAGCAACTTACAACTAGGGCATGAAATCATCCTCCAACATTGGATTAATAACTCCGAGCTGCAGTTCGTCCAATACAAAATTGCTAACAGTGAAACAAACTACACACATATTCCACACATAATTGCAACTTAACAATTCTAGAGAAAGAAAGTCAGACAAGAGTAAGTAAAAAGATCGATTACAAGGCGTCTGATGATGAAATTTTTGGTGGGTTTCACCATTTTTTAACTTGAAGAAGCTTCCAACATTCATCTCAACGTCCCAGTTGTAGAGACAGCACCAATGTTGGAAGAAACAAAAGAAAAAGTGGGGGAAGTACCGAGATGAATGGGGCGACCATGGCCAATACCAACCCCGCAACCGATGCCAAAGCCGGTGAACACTTGACCCACTTTGAAAGTAAAGGGATTCTCCCATCGAATCCCTTCTCCAAAGGGCTTTCTCTCGTTGCTGCTGACCGCCATTTACTTCCTGTTTCCTCTTTCCACAACCCACAACCCCTTTTACTTTACCCGCTTTAGTACTTTCCTCCCTCTTTCTTGAAGCAAAGAATTTTATCGATGAAGCTCTGTAAAACCCTGAGCTGGGTTCTGGTACAAGCCCAAACCCTCGATAGGTTCCTCCACTCCCCAGTTTCCCCTTCGGTGTTCTTTACAGGAGAATGAAAGGAAATTGTCACGGCTGAGACGGAGAGGGAGAGGGAAGTTCAACCGCCGAATAAGCCCAGAAGGGCAATGAAACTCAAATAAGGCCTATACACCTCTCATGGCCCAAGACCGTGTAAGCCCATATTTAAGTTTGGTCCACAATAATATAGACCTAAATTAGATATAAGCTATATTCCTTACCATCTAAAAATATTATTCCATATATTATATATTTAAACTATATATAAGATTGTGACCGTATTTATAATAAAAAAATAATATTTCATATGCACTGGCAAGTTGTACTGTATATTGCATAGCATAATCATTTGATTATGTTGGGTGAGGTTCAGTCTCAATATTTTAAACATTAACTGCACGTTATTTGAAATTTCGAAAATTATAGAATGACATGTATTGTTTAGATATTTAATTTTAGTGTTTCATGTACCGAGATTTTATGAACTACCATTTGAAAATAAAATGATTTTAAAAACTTTATCTCCACCTGATTCAAGATTGGATAAATGAACTATTGTGAGTACGATGATAAAAAATTTAAATATTATAACATGATCATGTTATACATTTAGCCAAAAGTTAATATATCTAAATTAAGAGTTGTATGTTTTCACTTATAAATTAACTTATATCGTATCAATATCGTGGGTGTCCCTGGAGGGACTAAATTAGCTATGTATATTTACGAGTCAAATTTTCAAGCCATACATTCGGGCCATACACAAAGAATAACAAATTTTTATAATATATGAAAAATGATTCAAGTACGGCAAAAAATTATTTAATATTAATGTAGTGTATGCACGAGATTAACGTGAATTTCAAGAATATGAACAAAAAGTTTCAAAATTAATTTAATATTTAAATGAAACTCACCCAGCCAATGGTCGGGATCAAAGCTAGTATAGACCTAAATTAGATAGTGGCACTTAATCTTTTTGCTGGTTAGTAATCAGTACACTCTTTGTTAGGATTGAAATTGGATGGTAAATCATGTATATGGTATGACAATTTGATTATAATTTATAAATAATAAAGTATCCTTCAATGAGTATCAATCAACTTCGAAAATAGTTTCCTCAACTTTTTTTCAATATATGGCAAGGAGGCGGTAACCAAAGATACTAAATTACAAAACCGACTCTAACCACAGAATAAAGTGAGTTTCCATCCATGACAACTTGCAATGACTAATATCTTGAGGATGAAATTTGATATAACGATTTATTATTGATTTGTTCGTAGCTCCACGTATCTTATTTTTAATTATTTTCTGGTACACAATTCATTTTTTCATTCTTTGAAAAAGAATAGATGCTTTACTTTTCTAGTTACATGAAATGAGTGATGCTAGGTCATGCTTGGGCCGGTACAATACATGCATGTTTAGCACTCATTTATTTCGTGCCGTGTTTAGTACGACTCGTCAGTTTTTATATCATGTCAGTTTGTTTTTCAAAATTGCTGATGGCTTTGACTAGTTGTGAATTGGTTGTATATTTGTTTGACTCGGTTATACAAGTAATGTTTTGAGAAAAAAAATCAGAAATTGAATAAATTTTGTATGATTCTCTATAGAAACTTTACAAATTCGTAAGTGAATAATAAATGATATTTCTATAAAAAGATTTGCACGGTGATAATGGAATATCATCACCACTATTTACCATGTCTCAAATAAAAAGTAAATTAGGATAATAATAAAAAGTCCTTCTATCAAGGTGTAAGTTAGTTTTGTAATCAACGATCCTAAAATCGTACAGGAGGTTGTACCGGAAAATCTAACAACAAAGTACATTATACAACTATGATTTAATCATTTCATATTGTTTAAAATCACCTATCGGTGTGCACTTGGGCATGAAATTTTTCCGATCGTCAATAAAATACGATTTCACAAACACGAATTTTAATGTATGAAGAACTTTTTTAGAATAGTAAGTTAGGTGTGTGCCGAACCGCGAATCAGCTGCTTGCCACCACCCCAACTAATCCCTAATTCTTTTGCCCTAAAAAATCAGTTGGTAGTTTTGGTACCACCAAACCAACTAACTTCCCAACCATATAGGAATTACTCTTTGAATTCCTTGTAGTGCTCCACGCCTTGAGATGAACCCTACTAGCTAGTGGACTGCTGCCATTCATTTCGGTGTACCCTACCGACCAACCACAAACTAAATTCGGTCAGTTACTGATTCAGTACGGTATACCAGCCTGCCTGCTAGATTGTATTTCTTAACGGTGAAAGCCATTCTGCCAGATTCTTCATTCTGGCCTTAAAAAAAATATTGTATGGAATTATGCCCATTCTGCCAGATTCTTCATTCTGGCCTTAAAAAAAATATTGTATGGAATTATGCCCATTCTGCCAGTGTTTTTGTCCACATTCACTAAAGAATTTGATGAATCCTGCTAATTCTAGTTGTCCAAAATTATACGCATTAGTAATGATAATGAAACGGTGCATGGTGAGTATTTTGACGTCCCTTATTCACAAAGTCTAAACTAATCTTAGATTTTATGACTAATTTTTATAGGAGCACGCATTTGATAAAGTCAAGCAATTTCAATATGTGATGAAAACACAAATGATAAATATTCCGTAAATAAAAATAGCGAAATAATGACCTGACTAATAGAGTACGGATAGAATAACAACACTATTTGTGTTGTTATAATAACAACAAGATTCATAAGGACAAAATCATAAACGGACAATAAATAACAAATTAAATTTAAATTAATTATCTGAAACCCTTCTTCTCCTTCATTCCTTCCCACTTGCATCTGACTTTCTTCCGTCCCTCACCATTGTGACTTCACCGGCGCCGGCGTCGGCGTCGATCCGAATGTTCGAGCAAGCAATCCTCCTCCGCCATCCCTCAATCCCCTTCATCCAAGTCGTTTCTCCTCCTCCTGGCTTGACGCCGATTTCAAAGGTGCGATCATCATCAGATCTGATGAGGTTTTGGAATCGACGATGATTGTGCCGAAGAGGGGAATAGAGACTCGATCGACGGAAACGGGTGGAACAGAGTGTTCGCTGATGAGGCCGTTGCGGTAGCGGAAACTGGCGGGGAGATCTTCGGCTGCTGCTGCAGATCCAAACCGGCGGCGGAAGGAGCTCGCAAGGAGCGGAGCGAGAAGCTCTGACTTCACGAACTAGGCCGCTGTGGTAGCGGAATCCGACAGGGATGTTCGGTTGTTGCTGGAAATCGAAGTCAGAGGCTGAAGGACTTCATAGGGTGCAGAGTGAGATGATCAACTTTGCGAGGGCGGCACCGCCGGAGTGCTGATCAAAGGCGGCGATAATCTGGAATCTTCACCTTTCAGGGCCTTGAGTTTAATTTATGAGAGGCACTTTGAGTTACTGTAGGATTTCCGACACCGTTTCTATCAATTTGGCAAATTGACACAAAGAGGAAAGCTAAAAACTAGTTTAATTACTACATAGCAATTAGAGGATTTATCATATGTAAGCGTGAAATAAGATGTTTGCCGAATGAATTACCTTTCTGCAGGGGAGCATCACATGGAGCCATGGAAGAAGGGAGGCCTCGCTGGAGTAAAAAGTAGGAGAAGGGTTAGGGAGCAATGTGAAACTGCAATTATATATATTTCCTTTAATATAGATATGAATTTTGAGGTTTTTATATTGTTTTGAATTTTGATGGTTCTTTTTATGTGTTTTGGTATGTATTATTGTGTGTATGATATGTATTTACGAGTTATTGTTGTGAAGATCACAAGTATCTCATAAGCACACCAAAAAATTTCTAATATAACCACAAACATGGAAAAACGAACCATAAAATGCATACCAGAAACCTTCAAATGCGACTCGCACGAAAATACACAACAAATTAATCCCGACTAGAGCCCAAGTTTTTAAACTCTAGTCGGGTGCAGTATAGAGCAAGTATTTAAATTGTCAACCCGGGCCGATCCATGTACCCCTACTTCAATCGCTTAGGTTGTTATCTAGCAAGCAACTTTTTAGTTTATCACTAATGGAACTACAAACTAAACTAGCAAGGAAAAGTAAATAAAGGAAAAGTCTAACAAAGGGAGCTTCACCCGGGAGTTGCTTTTCCCTAACTAACTACCATGACTCGTTGGATTGAATGGAGTCGTGTGGTGTAGGTGGTTGTGAACCGCGAGGGTGAGCAACTAGTGATCAATCTGTCACGGAATCAATTCACTAGCGATCGATTTGTCACGGGATCGATCCACTCACCAAGTATAGGGGAACCACTAGGAGGAGCAACTAGTGATCCATTTGTCACGGGATGGATTCACTGGAGGTTGATTTGTCACGGGATCGATCCTCTCACTCAGTCACTAGTGGTTTCCTAGGTCTCTCCCTCAAACCGGAGTTTGAGCGGCTTAATCACAACCAACCGAGATGCAAACTGGTAAGCGCGAACCGCAGAGGGATGCATATGTGGTCGGAGACCACAATCTCAATTGATAAACCGAGGTAAGCATGAAAGGCCGTGTCACTCGATCCTCTCGGTTTAGACAATCGGTAGTTGACTTAAATCCTCACTCAACTCTATGGTTGGACGGCTTAATCGCGATTAACCCACTTGCTTAACTCAATATTGAGGGTTGCCCTAACTTAACCTAGTTTAAGTGGCTTAGAAAGCGGAAGGAAAACCAACTCTATTGAGTCTCTCTTGGAAGGGGGATTTTCCTCTCTAAGCTAGGCTAAGGTGGCTAATTAGATTGCTAGCACCAACATGCACAAACCTAAGGGTGCTAAGAACAAAACATGCACAACCCTTAGTTTGCTAAGCACGAGCATGCACAATCACCATAACAACACCTCTAATACTCAAATTGATGCAAACCCATACTTAATCATTCAATCTAAACAAGTAATTACAAAGTATTAGTTAGGGATCTACACCATCTAAGAGAAAATAGTGAGTTTCTATAGAGAGAGAGAGGGATTACAAATTTGAGCTCAAGATCTTCTTCTTCTAGGCTTGAATCTTCCACCCAAGCCTCCAATGATGCTCCAAGATCACTCTAGCACTCTCTCTCTCTCTCTCTCTCTCTCCCTCTCTCTCTCTCTCTCTCTCTCCCTCTCTCTCTCTCTCACTCACTAGAACTCCCCTTTGGTGTTTAGGTTGAAACCCTAGAGAAAGAAAGTGTTTCTTCTCCAAAAACCAGCTCTCTTTTCTCTCTCCCCGTTGTTGTCTTCATATGTGCCCGAAAGTGACCAGTTCACGGACGCGTTGGCCAGTTCACGGTCGTGAACTCCTAAATGCGTCCGTGAACTCAGCGTCGTCCAAAACGCGCCACTTTATTTGCCTGGGTTCACGGTCGATGGCTCCAGTTCACGGTCTTAGAGACTGTGAACTGCCTTGTCGTCAGTAACTTCACGAACCTCGTTGGACGGCTCGATGTTTAGGGTTTGTGGTCCATGTTCACGGTCTTAGGAGACCGCGAACTGCCTTGTCCGACCGTGAATTGCGGCTGTTTCCTGGGACGCCTTCACTTCACTGCTATGGGGCCATTGTCACGGTCTAGCGACCGTGACAATTGTGTGACTTCGGACTTTTCTTTGATTTTTGCGCTTTTTGACCTCCAAATATCCCAAAACTCGTCCTCGACCCTTCCACACATGCTAGAACCTGAAATGTATCAAAACAAGCACAACCTAGCGTAAATATGTCGAGGAATGATGAAATACTAAGCTAAACGAATAAGAAATGAGTAAAATGTGTACATTTGAGCCTGAATCAAAATGCAAAGCACAAGTCTCAAAAACATACCAGAAACACAAGAAAGCAAACCACTAATATTTCTAAAACACACCAGTAACTTCATAAAACAAACCACAAACATGATAAAATAAGCCACAAAAAGCATACCAAAAACCTCCTAATCCAAACCACAAATCCTTTAAAACAAACCAGAAATCGCACAAAGCAAACCACATAATTTTCAAAAGCAAACCATAAACCTCATAATACAAACTGGAAACACTGTAAAGCAAACCACAAACGTCCTAATGCAGACTACAAATATATTAAACAAACCAGAAACCTCGCAAAGCAAACCACAAAAGTTTCGAAAGCACACTAGAAACGTCTTAATGCAAACCAGAATTACAATAAACCAAACCACAAAAGGCATACAAAAAACACGAGAAACCAAACCATAAATCTCACAACGCAGACCATAACATCCGGTGGTCGTTGACCAGTCAATGAAATTCGTTGACCAAACTCCGATAACCGTCAGTAAGCAGATTTCGACGCCGATAGGCATATTCCGGCCCCGATGACTAGATTCCTACAGCGGTAAGCATATTCCGACCACGGTGAACATATTCCGACGATAAAATAGCATATTCCGGCGACAAAAAACATATCCTGGTGACCGGCATACCAGATTCCGGCGACCAGTGGCCGAATTCCGGGCACATAATTTTGGGCAGAAAATAAAAAAAAATTTTAATTTTTTATTATTATTAGAACATATTTTTCATAATGACAATTATTCCCCTGTTTTGATTTTACACTATGTCAACTCAGCTAATAAAAAGTCATCACAACCCTATCTTCCTATTGGTTGGAGACTAGTGTTGTCACCCAAAAAGAATGTTGTTATAGTAACCGGTCCCCTAGTCCTTCAGCACCACCAGTCCACCACCACGGATAGGCCATTGTGGGCCCAAGTAAGTGGAGAACAAAGCCCGTTGATGGGGAATAGGAAATGCATGACGGATTGGCGGAACAGAACGCAACGTTCCATTTAATTAGGGCAAAATTACTCCAATGACCTTCCGTGAAACCCTCTTAGGACAACAATTTCAAAATGCTGAAATTTGGAGACACGAATCTCCATTATATAACTAGCTTATAACCCGGACCGTTGGCCGGAATGTTTATATTTGATTTTTTTATACTTTTTATGTTACGTTAAAGTCTATCAACCCGTTTAATTTTATTGACAATCTTTCAATTAAGATGAAACATAAAGAAAGAATATATAGGTCGAACATTCAGAGAAATCATCATCATTTGAGAAAATAAAATATAAAAATGTATAAAACATTTCATTTTCATAATGATAATTAAGCCCAGTTAATATGTTATTAGTTAGTTGATTGTTAAGAAAGATAGAGTATAAAAGCTCACTGGAATTCCCACACGACCCATAGATAGTTTGAAACTGAATCTAAAACCTCACAATCCTACGTAAATGGTTCAATGCTCTCATTTTGGGGGCAATATGCCACTAATAAAAAATAAATGGAGGGTTGTAGGTTCAAGTCAACTATATACTAACAACTCAGCTAAGAGAGGACCATCAAAACTTGAGAGCAAACGACAAAATTGGATTACCTCCAATATACTAATAGACTCGATCAAAGTAATATGACACAAAATTAGACAGTCCTTATCTATCAGTTCCAGCAGGCTGAATAAAGAATCGACCTACTTCATTAAATCAATCAATAATTACTCGTTTTAAGATAGAAATAGGTTGTGGTAGCTGCAAAAACCATACACCTAATGATCCAATAGCCACCACTCTCCATTGAACGACCAAATTTTTATCTACTCTATCTTCAATCTCAAGAAGCATATGTTTCAACCAAACATTCACTTTCTAATCCTCCTTCTGCAACTCCATTTCTGCTACTTTGATGGACCTTCTCTCTGCGGCCCTCAATTTCTCTTCCAATTGGGGTTCTTGTCAACTCGCTCTTCAACTCCTCAATCCCCTTCCTGTGTTTTGCCAACTCATCTTCCTCAGGGGTAGTTCTAATAAGTTCGCTAAAACCAAAACTCATCTCCAATTCCATAAATATGCTCATCTCCCCCCCCCCCTTGCATGCCTTCACCTGCTTCAGCACACTTCCATGTCCTTCAATATCCTCTCCATTTTCATTAATATCTTCATCATCTCTCACTTCTCTCACTTCAACTTCTCCAGTTTTGCTTCCGCGTCTTTCAACACCCTCCTCAATTCGATCACTACCCTCAATAACTCCCTCTTCTCTGCCTTAACCTGCTACAGTTGAATTTTTCTTCCCCCCACCACTCTCATTCTCAAACTCAATCTTAACTCTTCTACTCCAAGTTCAACACCTCAAACTCCTAGACTGTTGCATGAAAGCTCAATTTCTAACTAATTCTAAAACAATATCAAAATTTGATTAGTGAGTTGGACCATAAGAATAAAAATTAATGAGAAAAATTATGGTTGCGGAGAACATTAGTCATCACAAAATCAAATATGAGTGAAAATATTGTAATTGAAAAGAAACCTTTTTTTCTAATTTTGATCTTATTTTATTATTTCAATAGCTAAGCAAAGAACAAAAATAAAGTATCGGAAACAAACAACAAAAAAGTAGACAGGGCTCTAGGAAAGTACAACTGCCCTGTTCTACACAAACATCTCTTTTGCTTACAAACAAATATAGTACCCAAAGTCCCAAACCATCGTTCAAATTCATTTTCTATATTTTATAAAATCATTCATAAACAACAAACTTAGATAAATTGGGAAGGAAATAATAGCCTACCAGTTCAAGTCGATGAACCTTATATGAAGATAGAAACCTAATAACAGAAAGAGGAGAAATGACGCAGGAGATCCCCCGAGCTTTAAACATCGTATCAGGCAATAAGATCAAAAGAAATAGATATTCTGCATGTTGTGCTCATGAGACAACGTGAAATAAAATTCATTTTGTTATTAATCAGAAAGATAAAACCATGAGCCATAGAGAAGAAATGAATGACTTACATGTGCAAAGCGATTAACCTTGGCCGGAAACCGAAAACCTATTAAAGGTCAATGCCCGGTATAGGAAGATGAGTAAAGGCGAAAGGTATGACTGATCAAACATTGCCTTCAGCAATAGAAGCAACAAAATAGTTCTTCTGGTAGTACATTGAGGAGAAACTGAACCATTGGGTGATGCCAATGCAGAGGAATCGAGCGAGATAATCAAGGCCAGGACATAACTACTTGATTGAACTCCATTCTATTCGCCATGGATTGATATGAGAGTTGAAATCTTCTACTTGCCCAGCCTAAATTCCCAAGAATAAAACTGCAGTGCCAAGAGATACCCGAATGTTGATTTTCAAATGCTCCTTATACTGGGAAGTGAAAGCACGCAAACTATTGCACGATGGAGGGAATTTCGGAGAAAATTAGAAAGAGATAAGAACAAAGATAAAAAGGCACAAAATTTAAATTTATATTGAAAAATGCAAGGACACAACACGTAATAAAGGAAATAGTTTCTTCCATGTTAGCCAATTACCAATATACCTTTATCGAAACATTAAGGAGAGAGCATGAATTCTAAAAATTGATAAAATTAAATGAAACTCTACTATGAAAATTGAAGTATTAAGCACCATGAAAATACATATGGTAGACTTAGTGCCCTTGTTAATCATGATGAAAAAGTTCTATGCTTTTCACAGTTTCAATACATGTATGTTTTGTATTAAAAAAGGAACAACAAATACACTTAGTATAATTGGTTATGACTGCTATCTTTGTTTCAAGAGACCCATGTTTGAGTCTTGATATTGATATTTTTTATGAAATAAATCTTTAATTGTAAAGACAAAAATATCCTTCCTACTTTCACTCTCATTGGAGGAAATTTGAAATGGAGAAAAGTTTACAAAACTCTACTATATATTAATGGAGGAATTTGCAGGTGAGATCCGGTCCTTAAGCCCCCTTCATTAAGGAGGATCTTAAACCTATTTCAGCCAATAGGAAGAGGGGAGAGAAAAATATTACTAATCATTGACTAACTACCTGCAAGGATAAAAAATGAATATTAATGATATTTTAATAATGAAAATAAAAAAAAGAAAATTAAACGCATGATTTATTAAACCCTAAACCTTCTCACCGTCAGTGTTTTCCTTCCATCATTACAGCGCCGTGATTCTCGTCTGGACTCGGGAGGAGCAAATTCTCGGCGTCTTCCTCCCATCGTTGCAGTGACGCACACGAGGAGACTCCAGCTTCTCCATCTGCCTGCAGCGCCGCGAATCTCGTCAAACCCGCAACTTCTAAACTGCTTTCCTTCCGCTGTTTGTAGCATCGTAAATCTAGTTCAACCCGCAGCTTCGCAGCCTCTTCACTTCCATTGTTTCAACGCCGCAAATCCCACTGGGAGGAGCAGCTTCACAACGTCGGGCATTCCATCGTTGAAGCTTCCCGTCGACATCTTCTCAGTAGATTATACATCGTGGGTGTGGTTCTTAACCTAAGCGGATCTATGTATTAACATTTTGTGAAGTAATTATCAACGATTCATTGTATGGTTATTAAAGATTTTTGTCGTGTTGTTGCATCTATGTGGGGATTATTAATCTTTTCATGGTTGATTGTTAACTTTTTATAATAGATTGTTTATGTTTTACGTTGATAACGATTTGGTATAGGCGCCAACCATTGTTAACAATTTTTAATATAGGCATTGTTAATGAAATGTATCGTGGTTATTAACGTTTCCATAATATTCAGTATCGTAATTCGTATCACTATCAACGGGTGGCTATAAGCGTATCAATATTTGAGAAAGAATCATTAATATATGTAGTGTGGTTGACGATCATTAATTTTGATCATTATCAATGATATTGCTTGCATTTCAAACATAACACAACTTAATTATTAATGTTTTTGTACTATGATTATTAACCATATAAGTTCAATCATAATAAATTATTTGCTTGTATTTTCAACGTGACACACATAAGTTATTAATGTTTTAGACTGTCGTTATCAATGTCTCGATGTCCTAATGTTCGTTTTTTTTATTGGATGATATTGAGAAAGTATATTATCGGTTTTACAGTTTCAAGTCAAGTTTATTAATGTCTTGAAAAATTATATTATTGGTATTGTTATCGCTAAAAGGAATTATCAATGTTATGCACCATCATTATCAAACCTGATGGAAGAATTTGTATATGATATGCAAATTTATTGCACGTTTGAGAAAGCATATTGTTGGGTTTTTGTTTATTGTTATCAACTATTATGAAGTAATTATCAATATTATTAACCAATATTATTCATGTTTTGATGGTAATTATCAATCATTCATGATGACATTGTTCGTGTTTAGAATATAATTGTTAATGATTTATGATTTCATTATTAGTGATAACATTTTCATCCCTTATGTTTGCATTACTAAAGTTTATTGATATCGTCCTCAAAATAATTATCGTAAGTTTTTATCTATACAATAGGACATTGTCAACGTTTTCAGTATTTAATATCATGTTTCCATTATGAAAAACATAGTCTTTTACAATGACTAACAATTAAACTACTAACGTATGTAGAACAATTGATAACAAATTATAATATCATTACCAAAGTTTTGCATGATGTTATTAATGATATACAACATTGTATTCGTTTTGATAATCATTCTCTTTTGCAATGACTAGTAACGCTACTTCGGGGTATTATCAATGTTTTAGGATAAATTTTTATCGTTTATTTTTATCGTTGTCAACATTAACGCATGGTATTGTTAACAATAAAAAACACATTATTCATTTTCAAAATAATATATGGTGCTTTACACTATCATTATTAACGCTTTATTGTCATTTTTTAATGAAAACGGTAGCATGTAAACTTTATTATCAATGGAGGAATTTTACAATGCTATATAGTATTTGTGCTATAGGTTTTTCCTTTTATGGTACAACTTAAAATTGTACATTTATATTATGGTACAACTTCATATTGTACCTGTACTTTTTGTACAAATTCTGTTATGGTATAACTTGAACTTGTACCTTTATGTGATGGTACAACTTCAAGTTGTAAAGTTGTACCATAACATAAGGGTACAAATTGTTTTATGGTACAACCTAAACTTATACATTTAATGTTATGGTACAACTTTAAGTTGTACATTAAAACACCAATACTATATAGCATAGTAGAAGTGCTCATTATCAATGTTAACAACCAAAGAAAAGCTACAAGTTTCTATAAATAAAAAAGCAAAGATAAAGGAAAACAATGGCCGCTTGTTCTGTCAAGGTCATAGTGGTTCCTGCCGCCGAGTCGTAGAGAAGAAGACGAAGAAGACGTGGTTGCTGGCTATGTATGGACTGGACGACGGACCGTGATTCTGGCCAAGCAAGCGACCAAAAGACGCCCATCAGGGAGACGTCGGAAACTGCCGGGAGCTGTTGAGGGAAGGCGGTGCCAAGAGAGTGTCGCTGCTGGCCGACGGGGGAGAACGACGACTGACTGCAGGTAGGCTACGACAGGGGCGGAGCAGGATTTGGCGTTCGGGGGGCCGGAATTTTTTTGTCTGTTATCGCGGAAAAGCGATAAAAATTAATCAAGACGATAAAAGAAAATTTATTTCAATATTATTATAATTGAATTTTTAGATGATTAAAGTCACTCAAACTAAGATTTATACTATAATTTATCATGCGTAGACAAAAGTGAAAATATCATATCTGTCAATTTATTTTACATGAATCAAATGGGTTATTTGATTCTAAAGTTAGAATTGATTTTACCCATTGTAACTTCAATATTAAAGTGTATTTTTTATCTAGGATTAGGGGATGGAGGTAGGATTTTACTTTCCGATAGAGGGGATTTTTCAATTCTATCACTGCAAAAATAAAATAAAGTATAAATAAAACAAATAAATGTCCAGCCACATAAAACTAAAATGTGGTAAAGAAAACTAAATTTGAAATTAATGAAGTGATCAAGAAACAATTTTGACATTAACGAAATTAAGAAACCATATAGGAAACTTGAATGGGTAATTATATAGATCTATTGAACTGGAAAAGACATACTAAAGCTGAAATTAAAATTAAATTAACAAAAGTGCAGGATCAGCGTATCGAACACCAAACCTCATGACAACTATGTTAAGTAACCATACGCTGGACTAAATTTAGTTTCTTTGCCCAAGTATGCACACTAAACGTTCTTGTTTTCATTTTGCTTTAGTTTATACGAAATTTTCAAAATACCGATATAGTTTATATGTAACTTCCACAATTCTCGGGGGGGGGGGGGGGGGGGGGGGGGGGGGGGGGGGGGGGGGGGGGGGGCCCCTCCGAGAGTAGCTGTAGCTCCGCCCCTGGGCTACGAACGCCTGGGTTTAGGTTTTGGGCGGAACGGAAGCTGGGGATGGAACGCAGCCGACGGCGGATATCGCTGAAGGGAGATGAAGAGACGGAACACAACTGAAGGGATAGCCAGATAAAGGAGATTGACGATTACGTTGAGGGAAACGGTTTGGCTTGGAGGGAGAAAACATATGGGACATGGGTTTATAGATTATTAGGGTTAATTATTTCAGTTTTTATATTATTTATAATTCCCTAAATATCCTTAACAACTAATTAACTAATAACTCCTTAATAACTACTTAAAATCACATAAGCCAATCACAACACTTTAAGATTCTCCATAAAAAAAGGATTCAAGGACCTGAACTTAGGACTATATTTTGTAGATGTAGATTCTATATGAATTATGTTAATACAATTTGACGATGGAGATCGTATAATAATGACTTAATTCATATCTGAATAAGAAATTCATGTAAATCCAAATGATCCCGCTACACTAAGCACTAACAAAATAAACAAAATACCAAATATCACATCAATACCCAAATTTACCATCCCTACCCATATTGCCCCGGAACAGAGAATCAAAATACAAAAAAGGAAAGAATTACACAAAACAGACGTAGTAGCGAAATGAGAGTCTCCAAACACCCCCCCTGTCTCCCTTCCTTCTTACGGGTCTAAAAAACAATGGCGGTTACTGACTTCTCCTCGCCGGGGACGGCAACCACCACGATCACATCGCCGTTGCCGCCGAAACCGCCACAATCGCGAATCGGCATCACCAACACGTCGTCGTTTTGCCAGCTCACCCAGCACGTGACGCCAGCGGGCTTATTCCCGTCATAAAAAGACACCTCGTCGATCCCCAAATCCTTCCACGTCGCGTTCCCGACGGTAATTCCTTCTCCTCCCGGCGGCGGCTTCTTCTCCTCCGATTCCGGCCTCCACGCCTTCACCTCTGAAACCGCCGGCGGTTCCTTCAAATCCACCACGCGGAAGCTCGAGATTTTCCCCTCCGAGCCGAACCTGCGGTGGGCCTCCTCCATGCAGAGCTCCGCCAATTGGGCCTCCTCGTGGTCCAATTGGTCACGTGGTTGTGTTATTTTCAGGATAAATGTGTGGGCCTGGCCCCTTGTCGGAGTCGAGCTGAATGCTTCGAGCGTGAACGACCCATTGGGCTTCATATGAGGGAGGTAGAAGATTGGGAGATTGGCGGCGGAGGTGGATATCATTTCCTTGTGGATTTCCCCCCATTTCTGGAGGAAGTTATCGGCGATTAGAAGGTCGGCGAGGAGTAGGCTGCAGCTGATTCCGACGGAGTACCCGCCGCACTTGAAATTCGTCACCTGCGATCCAGATTTTGGCCAAGTGAGGAGCTTTAGCCATTTGTTGATCATGATATCATAGTAGAAATTGATATGGTATCAGTATTCCACTATAAAAAATTTAAATTTCAAATATCATCTAAATTTAATCTTAATCCCAAAATAAATTCGATATGTCAGTCTCAATTTCTAATATTTTGTTCGACATTACATATCCAAATATCAAATTAAATTCTTTTAAAACTCTCAATAATATATATATATATACTTCTCCTCTATCATCTGCAGCACAAACCATTATGAAAATATATTAAAAAAAAAAACAATGATGACAACCCTTGTACAAGACAAGTGGACAAAAAGCTAAAATAAAATAACAACAAACCAGAGACATGTAATGTTTAAGAAACATATTAACAAACTAAAACAACAAACTGAAATATGGGACGACTAAGTAGTCCATAAACATAGTACAAAGTAACGAAATGTCAAATGAGCTTGGTTTGGGTTGTGAAATAGTAAGAGAATGAGTTATGTATAATTAATTGGTAATTTTGATGGTTGAGGGTCTAATAGCAATTAATAAGAGCTTATTTGGGAGTGATAAAACACTCACTAGTTTGTATATTTCCATATTCATTAATAATATTTGAGTATAACTTGTAATTCCTAATTATAGTAAATAATATTTGAAATTCAATCATCCAAAAAATAATACATGTATTTAATAATAGCAAATATCAACAATTCAATATGTTGTTTGTTTATCTCAAATTCTGTACCCAAAATTCCAAGCTAATTATGATAGTTTGGGCCAAATCCGTGAGGTCGGCCAAATGTAAGTAATGAATTGATTGACTTCCTTGTCAACAATAGTAGGAGTAATGAATCGATCAAATGGTGAGGAGTTTTTAATAAGAAAGATTAAACTTTGGACCCCCAAATTATTCAACCTATTAGATTATTATTAATATTATTACTACGCAATTACCTGAACGTAGAGCAGGGGAGAGAAGTGGGGATTCTTCTGATCGATGTCCTTCCAGAAAACAAGCTCCGCCTCCGCCGCCGCCCTAACCTCCTCCTCCATCTCCATAAACTCCTCCAATCCCATCGCCACAGTCGCCTCCAGCAGCCGGCCTCCGCTATCGTTCGACACGATCTCCATTATTTCCGAACCCTCCTTCCTCAGGCGGCCGGCGAGCAGCGGCTGATTGTTGAGCGCCTGCATCAGCGACTCCTTTATCCATCCCGCCGCCACCCACCCGGAATCCTCGCGAACCGCCCTGTTGGAGTAGAACAGAACCAAATTCAAACATCCCTTCTTCATCCCCGATGGCGACACGCGGCGGGTCCTCCTCGGTTCTGTTATTTTCATCGGGGGTGTCGTCTGGACTCCTTGCAGCTCCGGTTTAGGGAGGGTCGCCGCCGCCGTCGTCGCCATTTTTTTGTTTTTGTTTTGGCTTTTTGTGATTCTCTGTTTTTGTTGATTTTGGGTAAACTTTTATATTGTACTATTATTTATAGCAGCGAAGACTTGGTAGATTGGTCCTACGTGGAGGCAAGCTATTGGTAGTGAGCATTGAATTTTTCGTTTTTTTTTTCTTTTGGTGGGCAACGGGTTAGGTTTGAATCTTGGGTACTAACTACTAACTGTTAGTGCAAAACATGGAAGAGAGAATAGATGGTTCACCTAACCACCAGCTATTACTATCAGCGCCCATTGTGCAGTAAGTCGCCCTTCAAATTAATGGCAAAATAACCTATGCATCCAACCGAATTTGAATAGTTTTGGTCAAGAAAAATTGCAATAGATATTATTTTTGGATGGAATTCTCTGTGAACTCGACGGAGAGGGTAATGAGTTTAGTCAATAGGGTGTAAGTTGATGCCGTATCAATAAGCCATTCATCTTCATAATTCAAAATATCGAGACACATATATATGAGATCATTCCCTTAAACATTGCTTCAAACCAAATGCAATCCATGTGCACAAGTCAATCACTAATACTGTAGGTACGTGAGGATTGTTACACGCGAAAAAGATTATCTATGTTCACATTAAGGATAGGTAATTCATTTGCTATACAAAAATATGCCTTATATACCATATATATGTGTGTGGTGGCGTATTTAGTGAATTCATTTTTTTGGGTGCATTCAATGCACTCGCCTCATAATTGTCATTCCAAGCATGCAATTCATGCCATAACGGCATCAATCGTCGCTTATGATGTTATGAACAAGAAACACATGAATTTGCAAAAAAAAAAAAAAAAATCATTCAAGATTTACTTTAATTTGAAGTATTTTGGATTCAGGGATTTAGAGTTAGAGTTTAGGTTTATAATTTAGGTTTGTGATTCAGAATTGAAGGTTAAAGAGTTAGGGTAATTGATTGATTAATTGTGATTTTATCTTTTATCATAGTATTAGACTAATACTGCCAATTAAAAATCAAAATTCAATGTATTATGACCACTTCAATGTAAAAAAAATGAGAACACTTAAATAACCACCATATATATCATTTCATTTGTTACACGAAGATTCCACCCATTTCAGCAAGAAGAGGGTAAATGTACAAATTATGGGTAAGTGATTCACTATGCTTGTGGGCAACAGCCAACATGGTAGTGGTAGATTCTGAACTGTTTTATGAACAGCAGAAAATGAAATGATGAATGAACGGTACAGTTGTCAGCACATGGAAGTGAAGTAGCAAGAGAATGCTATAAATGCTTGAAAAAGCAACATTCAATCTAACTTGCCATTTAACATCCAATTGGCAGGAACCAGTTGGTGTGGAAAGTGGCCAGACAAAAGGAAAAACCTACCGCCCAAGCTATTGTGCAAAAGTTGGTGTTTATTGTTTAATGTTACACCCAAATGGCCAAAACCTAACATTAAATAGTGACATGGCCAGAGATTATGTCCCTGTTAAGGGGAAAAAGAAAGATAGTGTAAGAGGATTGACATGATCTACTTAGCACTAAAATAGCTAACGATCCATTAAAACACTTGTGGGGTGGGGGTTAACAATAGCAGAGATGACAGATATGTTGGAGCCCCAAACAGTCAATATTAACTTGTGGGTTCATCACATGGCGAATTAGGACCAGACTATGAGGTTTGCAACAAAATGGTACATTATTGAGAAATCTATAACAAAAAGCTAACTACTCTTGATGACCAATTCATGGAGGTGTTGTGAATCACTTCCCACGAAAATTGGATGCAACCCGAATTCCGGTCGAAAAAAGTTCTTATATAATTTATAACAATTATTCATTTTGGGTGATGGTTTATTTCACATTACGGAACAATGCATGCATTGTGTGTGAAAAAACCCAAAAGAATGATACATTCTAAACAAACCACAAGTTTCATGAAGCAGATAAGAAACCTGATAAAGCATACTACAATTTCTCTAAAGCAGACTTACAAGTCTATTAAAGCATGCCACAAATCTATTAAAGCATACCACAGGTTTTTGAAAACAAACCACAAACTTATTAAAGCAGAACACAAGTTTCTTAAAACATACTACACATTTCTCATACCATAAATCTTATAAAACGGATCACAAGTTCTTGAAAGCACACCAGAAAACTCATAAAGCATGCCACAATTTTATTAAAGCATACTAGAAATCTCATCTAGCAAAACAATTTTTTTTTAAAGATGGTATTCAATAGTCAATACCAATAAAAAAAAGGGAGTGTAACTCTAAGGTACGTAACAATCTATGACTAGTCAGGGTACTTAATGGTTAGGTTAGGTTGACCTCCGGGTTATATTCCTTTGGCGTATCATTTGTAGGAAATTAAGACTGCGTACGTACATAAGTTATCGCTTCAACATTAATTACCGTCTTCCTTGCGGAGCTAACTGATATGAACTATTGACTAATTCCATCACTTGCTTGCATGAATTCCTGACAAGTTACATAATCGTAATTACTCTCTACTCTTGCGTATACGCGGCACTCACGAAATTTCGTTTTACTACTTAGTACCTACATTTTTTGCCTGCATTAAGACAAGGGATAAGGGTACATTAATCACACGTAGCCACCAACCGTCACCAGATTACTATAAGGAATTTACAAGCCAGCCCAGCAGCCAGCCCAGGAACTGCACGTACGTAAAATGCGTGAAAAGGACATACACAGGCCAAGAACATTCGAGAGGCTAGCTAGCAATCGTTACGAAAGAAACACATTATGATCTGATCCGTCCTACACGACATGTTTGATCTGTTTTGAGACGGATAATGTTGATAAACTATATATGATCCATATTTATCCAACAACTCGAGTTATTGGAATCAACCGGTTCTTGACATGGTATCAGAGTCTTCTGTGACCAAAAGATCTCATGTTCCAATCCTGACAATCCCCATTTGATTTGTTAAGTACATGGTGTCCAAACTTGTGCTTGTGCAAACAAGTCAATTTATTGGGATCAACTGGTTCTTTACAGATAATACTCATTCCATAAGCAGGGCGGAACATGTATGGATAATTTACTCGTCTTGTCCAGGCCCGACCCACCCCGCCTCATTCCCGACCCATTATTCTCGTCTTGTCCAGGCCCTGCCTCAATTCATCATTTGTTTTACTTTTACATTACATACAGACTACAATATGGATACCTATCTCAACCTGCACCCTAGTCCTCAAAACAAAATACTCTCTTTGATCCGACCTATTGTAAGACGAATATAACTATTGAAATACCCACTATGACCTGCACAATTTCCATTTCCCATCGATCACTAACGTCACGATTTACGAAGAAAACGAAGGCCGGCACAATGGTCCTTCTCATTTATATCCATTTCCATCAATCCGCCATGCATGCAGCGGCCAACTGCCGCCGCTCCGTCTCCTCACCAGAGTCGCATGCAGTAAATGTAAATGGGACTACTACTTTAATGGAAATCCAACAACATGCAATATAACCCTAGTTGCTAGGACTTGAAGATATATTATTTACTATCGATTGGAAGTTATAGGGTTGGATTCGGGTAGGTCATTTGGATAAAGTGCTATATATATCTTGTCACTCTCAATAAATATGTATATCCTCAATTGTAGTGAAATTTTTCTCTCCTGCCTGTGGATTAGCTAGCACACATCGTGTATATATGTTAGTGAACAAGTCGTAATTAAATTGATGTGATCTTTACTTTCTTGCGTTATCGATTTTCCGTTCCGTTACAACAATAACGAACCACATCTGATGTTACCGTCCGTCTAGGACAAACATGAGTTTGGCTCAATGGTTAGAGTTGGTTGGGAGATTTCAAAGTCAGTCATCGCTTTCTCAACTGAAAGCCAACTTGCGAATTTGAAGTTTGCATAGTCTAGTATCTTTTCCATTGTGATTAAAATCAACTGTTAATATTGAGAATCTAGTGGTGAGAATTCTAACGCAAAACCTCTCGATCAAATACTTTAGTTGATGTCATGCTGAAACCGGTCTCTCATGTCAGTGAATTAGCTAGCACACATCGTGCATGTTAATGAACCACGTAAATCAGCGTGTTCTTTACTTTCTTGCACTATGGATTTCCCGTGATAACTTTTTAGAAAGTCATCTAACAATGCCACATGTATAATTTTTTTATCTTACTTGATAACTTTTCAATGGCAAAGTGATTGGCTAGATTTAAAACAGTTAATGAGATCCATATTAAATATTGCCAACATAATTATTAAAATTGATGATGTGGATGTAGGGATCACATTTATAAATTGCTAATCAATTTTAGAATTGGAGATGATTTACGAACGTACCAACATGAACGAATGTGCTGATCATACATCAGTCATAGTTTGTGTTATTAATTCATTTGTTATCATAATTGAGTCAACAAACGATTTGATTTCAAAGTTTACTCTATTGGTTCTGATGGTCCAAGTTTACTTTAATTTCGATGAAGGGGCTTCAACAACACCTCATAACCATCCATTGCTATAGCTAAACAAACTAGCCACCTAAATCCGACTATAATTGGGAGAGGAGCTATGAGAAACGCGATGCACAACTCCTTTGATATCAAATTGTAAGAATAAAAAAGTATAAGTACTAAATTATAATTTTTCAACAATCCAATTGAATTTGGATTCAATGGATTGTATAATCATCATTCATTCCTCAGCATCCATAGCAATAAAGTTTGAGGAAATCCCAAGCAAGCCTCTGGCAAATAAGGATGACAATGGGTTCAAAATTGATCGGGTATCACAATATCCAGGCCTACCTTGACATTTGCTTTTCGCCTCGTCCAGACCCAAGACTTGTTGGAAGTTTTCGTTCTCCGACTCACGTATGTTACACTGTACAAGTTGGATTTACCCCCGCTCCACCCAATTGTTCCTCGACATTCAGATGACACAATAGACTATTCAGATGGTACAATACATGTTCATTTGTGTGGAATACTTGTTGGAGGCTTTTGAATACTTGTTAAATACTTCCGA